AAATTAAACAGGTCAACTCTAACCTGACCCTTTTATTAAACAGGTCAAAAATCTCAACCCTAACCCGCTTATTTCGTGTCGGGTTAGTGTCAAAATTTCGGGTCGTGTCAGAGATTGCCACCCCTAGTTCTATGGTACAAACCCAAGAGATTGGATCCAGAATTGTGAAAAGTTTTTTAGCATGTATGAGATCTCTAAGTCAGAAAAGATGGATGCCATTGAGCTTTACTTGGAATGGAAGGCAGACTTCTGGTATCAAAGTTTCAAAAGGGTTAATGGAGTAGTCAGTTGGCAGAGATTTGAGACCGAAATCATTAAAAGGTTTGGGGGTGAGAGAGGCGAAGAAGATGAATTTGAGGATTTTAATAAGTTGCTGCAACTCGGAACAGGAACTGAATAACATGATCGCTTTGAGGATCAGAAATCTAGGGTGCTTTGCAAGGATCCTCATCTCATTGAAATTTACTTCATTTCCAGTTTTATCAGTGGCCTAAAAGAAGAGCTAAAACCCATGGTGAGATTGTTGGAGCCTGTTACTCTATTGAAAGCATTCGAGATTGCCAAAGTTCAGGAAAAGACTCTGTCTTTTGCTCTTAAAAAAAAAAGAATATGATGATTGCCAACAGCAAACCCTATTATCCTCCAAAAAGAGTGACCAACAATAGCCGATCTAATGCTACTATCAGCAAGAGAGGAGGACAAGAGAATTTTAAAAGGTTATCTCCTCAAGAAATCCAATACAAACACAACAATAGCTTGTGTTGGACGTGTGCTGAGAAGTGGAGCCTTGGACATAATTGTAAAATGAAGTAGGTTAATATGATAGTGGCAGAGGAAGATGAAGAGTGGGGTGATACTTTTGTGCTAGCAGAAGAAAATGATGATGCTGGAACAATAGTGGAACTTCCAAATGATCAAATACAGGCTATCTCTCAGATGGAGGGATGCTGGGCACTGGAAGAAGAGGACATGAAGATAATTGTGATCCTTTGTTACATTGGAAATTTAACTATTAAAGTGTTGATTGATACTGGAGCTTCCAGGAGTTTTATGGACTCCAAATTGGTTAACCGTCTTAACTTGGTTACAAGGAGAGTCATACCATTTGTGGTAACAGTTGCTGGTGGATATAGGATTCGAAATGACTTAGCATGTCCAGATGCACAATGGCCAATTCAAAAATATGACTTCACCTTTGATCTGAGAATAATTGACTTGGGAGAATGGGATATCATCTTAGGGACAGATTGGCTCTCATACTTTAGTCCCATCCTTTTCGACTATAACAGATTTTCCATTCAGTTGAGCAAAAAGGGAAAAAATTTCTCTTACAAGGCCAGGCCTATGAACTTCACAGAAGCATGGAAAAAGCTATGGAGAATGTACAACATCACAAAAGAAGGAGACAACATTGGGAATGGGAACAACAAAAGAGGAGACAAGAAGCACATGGGAATGGAAGAGCTGATTGGAGAAATGGAGCTCAAAATGCTCGATTCGTATATGCTGTGACAATACAAAACTTGCCTGCTGACATTGAGGAATTGCTACTCAGTTTACAGATATTTTTAAGGAACCAGTAGCTCCACCACCTCCAAGATTGGTGGATCATTATATTTGCCTCAAGCCAGGCTCTCAGCTATTTAAATTGAAACCATACCGTTATCCACATGCTCACAAGTCTGAAATTGAAAACCAAGTGGATCAAATGCTGGAAAAGGGCACTGCTAGGCACAACAACAGCCTTTATGCTTCACCAACATTGTTGTTACAGAAGAAATACCATGATTGAGACTTTGTACTGACTACAAAAAGTTAAATGAACTCACCATCAAAAGCAGATACCCCATTCCTGTCATTGAGGAGTTATTGGATGAACTTCAAGGAGCTTCTATGTTTTCCAAGATAGATCTGAGGGAAGGATACCATCAAATCAGAATGAGAGAAGAAGACATTCCCAAAATGGCCTTCCAAACTCATCATGGCCATTATGAATTCCCAGTGACACCATTCGGTCTCACAAATGCTCCTGTAACTTTCCAGGCTCTAATAAATCAAGTATTTAAGCCATATATTAGAAAGTTCGTGTTAGTAATTTTTGATGATATATTGGTTTATAGTGTTACTTTGGAGGAACATGTGAAACATTGAAAATAGTGCTCCAAACTTTGAAGGACAATGTCTTATTTGCTAAGAAGTCTAAGTGTGCTTTTGCACAAGAATCAATTGATTATTTGGGACATGTGATTTCTAAGAAAGGAGTTGAAGTAGATCCTGATAAAATCCAAAGTGTAGTAGATTGGCCAGTACCAACTTCTTTAAGAGAACTAAGAGGGTTTTTAGGACTAGTTGGTTACTACAGAAGGTTTGTAAGGAACTTTGGAATTATAAGCAAACCACTGACTCAACTTTTCAGAAAGGATGCTTTTATGTGGACTGAAGCTGCTACTCAGGCTTTCTCTAAGTTGAAGCAAGCTTTAACCAGTGCTCCTGTGTTAAAACTACCAGATTTTGAGGTGTCTTTTACTGTAGAAACAGATGCTTGTGACATTGGAATGGGTGCAATACTAATGCAACAAGGTCAGCCAATTGCCTACCTCAGCAAAGCATTCAATCCTAAGAATCAAGGGTTGTCAACCTATGAAAAGGAGCTACTTGCTTTAGTCATGGCAATAACTAAGTGGAAGCACTATTTACAAGGCCATCACTTTATCATCAGGATTGATCATAAGGCATAGCAATACCTCTTGAATAAGAAACTAACCACCCCCATGCAGCATGAGTGGTTGACAAAACTGATGGGATTGGATTATGAAATTCACTACAAAAAGGGGAAGGATAATCTTGCAGCAGATGGACTGTCAAGGCAGTACCAAGGAATTGAAGAAACTGTACATGCCAAGGTTTTTTCCACTGTTCAACCCCAATGGATGACCTAGATTGAAGAGAGTTACGTTTCTGATGAAGATGCTCAACAAATGATCCTAGAAGCCACTTCTTCAGTTCCTAAGGAGGGCATCCAATACGTACATGGCATTCTCAGGGTGAATGGCAAGATCTATGTGGGAAGTCAGGCTGGCATAAGGAAGCTATTGATGGAAAATTTCCATTCTACACCACTAGGAGGCCACTCAGCCAAAAAGAAACTTATTAGAGGCTTAAAACTCTCTTCACATAGAAGAACATGAACAAAGATGTAGAGGAATATGTAAGGGTGTGCAACATCTGTCAAGCTAACAAAGGTAAACATCTGCCATACCCTGGTCTTCTACAGCCCTTAGAGATACCTCAGCAAGTTTAGACTAGCATCTCTATGGATTTTATAGATAAATTGCCACCTTCTTCATGTGGTTATGATTTTATTATGTTGGTGGTAGACAGATTGACCAAATATGTACATCTCATTCCCCTCATTCATCCTTACATAACCAAGACCATTGCTGATATTTACTTCAAGGAGATCTTTCGTTTACATGGAGTTCCAGAAACCATCATCAGTGATAGAGATCACATATTTACAAGTCACTTCTGGACAGCTTTGTTTAAAGCCATTGGAGTTAAACTTTGTCTAAGCACTGCTTACCACCCTCAGTCAGAGGAACAAACTGAGAGGGTTAATCACTGCCTGGAAACATATTTGAGGTGTTTTTGCAGCAGCAAACCGATAGTTGGCTAGGATGGCTCACAATGGCTGAATGGTGGTATAACACCTCCTTCCATTTCAGGTCCTTGATGACTCCTTTCGAAGCTCTTTATGGAACTAAGCCAAACTCTATTCCCATTGGGACCTTATCATTCCAAAATGTTTCCAGCTGTAAGTGATGACTTGGAGCAAAAAAGTAACATTCTGTGTCTTCTCAAATTCAACTTGGAGAGAGCTCAGGAATGCACCAAGTTTTATGTTGATCAAAAGAGGACGGAGAGGAATCTTCATGTTGGAGATTGGGTCTACCTCAAGCTACATCCTTACAGGCAAAGCTCCCTTGCAGCCAAGATTTCATTAAAGCTCTCTCACAGGTTTTATGGCCCTTTTAAGATCCTGGAAAAGATAGAAAATGTGGCCTACAAACTCCAATTACCAGCTCATTCCAAGATACATCCTGTTTTTCACGTGTCACTCTTGAACAAACACGCCAGATCAGCTCCAGTTGCCACCATTGAATTGCCTGATTTGGGTGAAGATGAAGAAGAAAGCCTCTTTCCTGAGAAAGTTTTGCAAAGAAGGTTCATCAAACGTGGCGATTAGAACGTGGTTCAATGGTTAATTAAGTGGAGAAACTTGGCCATGGCAGATTCATCTTGGGAAGACAACACCTTCATCACCAAGCAATTTCCTCACTTTAAGACTTGAGGACAAGTCTTATTTCAGACTGGGCAAGTAGCCATGCCAACCGGGTCAAGATTCAGAGCGAGTTTAAATTAGGAATTAGGAATTTGGAGGAGCGTTCTGTGCGACGTCGTCTGGTGGCTGTGGAATGCTGATGAAGTTGACTTCGTTTGACCATGCATGCAGACAAAATCCGGCAACTTCCAGCCAGCATCCTTTTGTTTTAACAGCTGTAATAGTTAGATTTATCATCTTTTAATCTTAGTTCAGTAAATCCTAATTCTAAGTACGTTAGTAACTTTAAATATTAGCTTTGTATGGAAGAAATGATCATCAATGAAATTCTATCTCTATGATTCTTCTTAAAAACCTTTCTTGCATCCTTTTATCCTCTGGTTTTTTTCCTTTCTTCCCCTTCTTTCTCATTTCCTCCGAAATCTGAAATCATCTAGTCACTTTATGTGACTCTATCTTCTTTTGTCATTTTGGTGAAAGAATCTTTATTTTTAAAAATCGAATCACTACATGACACCCCTCCATTACAAGAGACTTCGGGCTTTGGAGTTTGGCCCATTCCCTGTATAACTAGATTCATGAAACCGGGGCCCAATTAGAGATATAGACTATGGAGTATGGAGTACTACATATGAACATAAAATTCACAACCTGTCGGTGCAAAAAGAAAAAAGAAAAAAAGAGTAGTTTGTACAACAGATTTTGACTTTTGAGGAAAGTTTATGATTGAATTGCAAAAAGTATATAATTTATTAATAACTACAATCATCAGACCCACAATAATTAAATGAAAATGTCACCTCAACTGCTTTGAATCTGATAGAACCCATTTGAGTTCCATTTGAGTTTGATGCTTGTTTTCCACTACCTCAAAACCTCACAGCACCGAGGAAAAGTCGACCCAGTAGATCCAATAATATAATTCAGTTGGAAAAAAATAACAATCAAGAAAGCAAAGAAGAGATGTCGAGGCGATCTGGGAACTGTTTGAGATGTTGTTTGGTGGCTTTTGCAGTGATTTCTGCTCTGTGTGTATCTGGGCCTGCAATTTACTGGAAAATCAAGAAGAGTATTAGTTTGCAGAACGCCAATGCGTCGTTGCGTCCTACTTGTACTCCGTGTGTTTGCGATTGTGCTCCTCCTCTTTCCCTTCTCAAGATTGCTCCCGGTATTCTTCTTGGGTTTCTGCCTTTCTGATCCGAATGCTTCACTCTTTAATCTTTTCGTTTTTTTTTTTTCTTTTTCTAGTTGTTGATTTCCTTTTGTATGTTTCCATTTGGGATTTTGGGATTTTTGTTGCTGGACTTAGTGTAGCTTGTGTACTGGATTTTTGGATTTTGATTATGGGTTTATGGAAATTATATTGGTAAATCTTGTCTGATGGCTTTTAAATCTCTTTTGTCTGTCATATATTATTATCTGTTCTTAGAAGGATTTAATTTGCTTGAATGAAATCGAGTAGTTGCATGTTCAAGGTAGCTAATTGGTTCAGTTCGTGGTTGCCCCAGTTCCAACTTGCCATTTTTCTTTTAGGTCTTGCTTTGTTCTTCAGACTCTTTCTTTTGAGTAAAAATTTGTTTAGGAGTTATGTCTATGATGAGTCATAAGATTCTGGCCATTTCAGCTTCGAAGTTTACTGTTGGGCCCAATTTTACAAGTTGATGGTATATTATCTTCTTGGGATGATGTGTAACAAAAATCTTGTTCTTCGTCGACCTTTTAAATTTGTAACATCTTGATGCCTTGACCATGTAGCAAATCAAATGGCAGCATTTCAATATATACTGCTGAAATGGGCTTTTTAGCTTGTCGAGTCTGGGAAGAACCAGATTAATCTGTGAATCCTGTAACAGACCAAAGAATGAATAGTCTTCCTAGGACATGAGGATCTTTCCTATGGCATAACACAGGTCATTCTCAAATTGTTTGTATGAGATAATTGTCGAGATACTTGGTGTATGCTCCTACTCGTGTCAACGTCATAAGTTAATTTGTTGTATTTCATGCTGGATGCATGTTTTTACTTCTTGAGCAATTTCAGCTAATAGTATTGGGCACTAGAACAGTTATATGTGATTTTCCAGTTCATTTACTAGGGCTCTCAGCTCACTGATTGAACTGTTTTGGGAATTTTCTTTGTTCTTTTTTGCAACTGCTTTGCATAATTTGATATCAGAATATTGGCATCATGGAAAAGAATGGAACCGCTAGGGATTTTCTTCTGATAATCTTGTAGCATCAAGTTGCATGGTAAAGACATAGGGTTTCTCCTATGATATATTTCAAGTAGATCAAGTATTTCCAGGGAGATACATCTTTTTGACCATGTTATCACGTTGTTCAGTTTGTAATTATTATTGTTCTATGGATTACGATTTGACCAAGCAAAATCTCCAAGATTTATTCTAGGGAATTCGTGTATCTAATTTCTTGGAAAATTTATATACTTACTGGAATACTAAATTGATAGCAGTAGTGCTGTCGCTCACAATCTCCAGTTATATTTTCATGCATGGTAAAGTGTAGGTTAATGAAATTTCTACTATGTTATTCCTTTCTTGTCATTTCTACCTTGAACTTCTTTGTTCTTTTCTGATGAAATCTCATTTTTTCTACTAAGCATTTATTTTTCCAGTCATCTGAAAATGTACTTGCTCTAACATTTCCATGATCTTATTTTGCAGGCTTAGCCAATCTTTCGGTTACAGGTGAGCTTCTTTCTGACCTACATCTTCTTGCCTAAAGAAATATATGTTTCACATATTTCCAGTTACTATGTTCTGTCTTGTACACAACTTTTTCTGTCTTTTTTTGCTGTCAAAAAGGAAACAATAGAAGAATGGCAGTAATTGATGGTTTGAATAGTGGTAGGTGGTAAGATTTTAGACAGTAAGTTTAGGAACAGTTGCCATAGAAATGGATGTTCATCTAATGCTTAAGAAGACTACCAACAATGTTGAAGAGAGATGAGAAATAATTGATGAAACTAGTGCTCTTGGCTACTGATTGGAACGAAGGTTCCTAGAGAGACAAGTATGTCCTTGTAAGTCCTTGTGATAATGTGATCATGGGCAGGGTGGTTGGTGTGATCATGGGCAGGGTTGTTGGTCTTCTTAAGTCCTTTTTTCTAATGTCTTCTAAACTCTGAATTAGGATTACTTCCTGTTCTCGCTTCTGACTGAAAGCTAATTGCAACGTTACGGTAATAAAGAATTGATCATCTTTCATCTCCTTGAAATAATTCTCCTACAGGTTTTTATTGGGTAAATAGAACCATATATAGTTCTGCATTTGAGTAACATTAGGAAAGTAATATATTGGTGTAGTGAAGTCAGACATTATACTAGGTTCCACAATTTGTTTATCATTTATCTCACTGATTAATGTCTGTTCTATGGATATTTCTCTAAATGAGATATGCACAATGAGGTTAAAAATTTTGGAAGCACTTGGCAGTTAAGTTGTATTTCTTAGGACCTCCTGAACAGTATAAAACATCTATTATGTTTGGCTGCAATATGGATGGGCATTTTCTCCTTTTCACCCTCAATATGCTAATGCTGGTTTTTCACCTGAAATGATAGATTGTGGTAAAGATGATCCTGAACTTAAGGAAGAGATGGAGAAACAATTTGTTGACTTACTGACAGAAGAACTAAAGCTGCAGGAGACTGTTGGTGAGGAGCATATACATCATATGAATATCACTTTAGGAGAAGCAAAAAGGTTGGCTTCACAGTACCAAAGAGAAGCTGAGAAATGCAATGCTGCCACAGAAACCTGCGAGGGATCCAGAGAACGAGCGCAGGCATTGCTTACAAAGGAAAAGAAATTGACTTTAATGTGGGAACGAAGAGCCCGTCAACTTGGATGGGAAGGGGAGTAGAAGTCATGAGATCGTGCAATTGGTGAATGAATGGACCTGTTGTCTCCTTAGGTCGTCTCTCTCTTTTCTCCCAGTAATTAAGTCGCCATTTTCTTCCAGTAACTACAATGGTCACTCATAATCAGAGCATATACGCTGCAACACGTCCGTAAAGGTTCCTCTTATATATCAGAAATGCATGCAATTGACAGATACCTCTGCTGATTAGCCAAGTCTAAGGAACCTTGGTAATCAATTTGAATGAGCCTTTGCCTCAATTATTCTTTCTTTTTTATTAGAAAACAGTTTTCTGTTCCATACCTTGCTGATGAAAAGCAGGAATGATGTTACTTATGATTACAGTGTTTTTGCAGAGAGTATTGTCACTTTTCATTATGTTCTTGGATAGAAATGGAATCTTATTACTTGTTTAGTACATTTTGAAACCCAGGAATCTTAGGTCGTAACACTTGTTTGGTCTGGTCGGTAAATTTTCTCTCGTGTGTTTTTTTCTCCATTTTTCTGTCTTCTGGAAGCCAAAATAATTCATTTTGGAACAAAAGAAGTAAATTACTTACGACTTAAAATGTCTAGAACTCATTCTGCTTTATTGCACATAATGGGATCACATCAACCGCGCCACTGTATGCCATTTAATATGCTTATTGGCTTCTAGTTTCTTTATACCAAGTGCAAGAATAAATAGCTGTACGACGTACTCCTTCTATCCCAAATAGCATTGTCCAGTATATATTTTCACTTTTAGTTCAATTTGTAATAGAAATAAATCCAAACTAGACAATAATTTCAGGACGGAAGGAGTAACTCTAAATTTGTCGAAATGCAATGAGTATCATTAATAGAAATCTAAAAAATGGCAGAAGAACCAAAGTAAGAAGCTAAAAAAGGAAGAAAGGATTATCTAAATTGGAATTTATCAAGGAGTCAGACCAATCATCCTGACCGTGAAGAAGAGCAAGGGCAAACGCTAATTTGGAGAAAAAGAATATTACACAGCTAATGACATATTTTATGAAGTTGTAGCCGTTGGTCCTCCTGTACGAGCCGAGTTTCTGCAGTAGCTTTTTCATATGCAAGAACCATACGGGAAAGCATCAAATCCCCCCATGTTGCCATCGAACATGTTCCCGCTTTGTTCCTGCAATTACCGAACCACATTTCAGCAGCATATCTTAGAGGAACGATGACAATGCCCACAAAAAAAAATAAATAAATAAATAAAAAGCACTGGGTGACATCACAATTTTCTAGGATCTTTGAGGCTTCAGATGATCCGTGTGGAGTTGAATACACCAGCAAAAAGTGGTACAAATAACATGAAAATGATGCCAACATGAAATAAGCCTTATTAGGATACCGTGAAGAATCACACTTCTATGAAACCAGAAATGAAGCACTTTATTAAAAACTGATGCAGCTTTATTTGGTCCAAATTCTGTCTATGTAATTCAATCATCAGCATGAATACATCCATGTGATCATCTCTGACTAATCTTCCAATCACATGGTATTCTCTGGAATACCAACACATACTAATGATAATTTGAAAATAGTATGCTGACAAAAGAAAACAATCGAGTTTCTACATTTCTCAGACAATGTCGAGTCTTGAAAAAATAAAGTTTAATAAGAATGAAAGAAACAACAAAGATAACAAGAATGTAGACATCGAAAAACCAATGTTTCAGTTAAAATCAACAACAATATTGCCTTTGCCTTAAAAAGATGGCTGATTTCAGACTCATGTAAAGCTATTATTAAGAAGTTTTCTTCCTCAGGCGTTGGCATCATCTCTGTAGTTATAGACTGCAAGCAATCTATATTTCCGCAGATATTGATAAATGCAACTAGAATCTTCACAAACAAGAAGTCCACATCGTAACCTTCAAATACTATTCAGTACCATCTCAAGAGCTAATACCACCAAAACCTCCAGAACTCAAATTCAAATTAGATATGCAATACAATACAAAAGCATCAAGACGCTTTACTCTCCAACAACCATGGGAAAAAAATCAACACTGGAAGATCTTTTCATGTCCAATTACATTTTCCAGTAAACTATCCTTCTGTACGTATGTTTTTAAAGTAATTTGCAATCACATGCAAAATAGTTGTATAACCAGATAGCATAATTTTATAGTTCCCAACAACAACAACAACAACAACAACAAAAAACACCAAAGCCTTTTCCAGTGAAATAATGGATTTAAATAGTTTGCGTAACTAAGATATATAATTTTTTTTCCTTTTATCATCTTCACTAATTCATTTAAAGGCAATATAAAACAGCTACATTTTGAACCTAACTATCTGTAAAAGCCAATTCAAGCAATCATTCACAGCCAAAATATCTGTGACCAGAAACAAGACAACAGAGCGGAAAATGTTGTTACCCGTTTGATTGAAGTCATCAAGTCATCAAAGGCATCATAGCTACTGGTTGCAAAGCCAACTTGGGGTTTTATTTGTTCCAAGTAGTATGGTTCACCGGCCCTGATTCTTAAATTTGAGTTCTCGGTCTCACTTTGATGCAAGAATGGTGAACTGCCCAGGGTTGACCCGTCATCAATCCTTCTGTCAGCAATCCCAGTTTGTCCCATTCTCTGGCTTAAGGGAGTAATGACACTATTCATTGTAGCTCGAGAACTAAAGCTGCCAAGAAAGCTGTTTGAGTTCTGTGAATAATCCTGCTTTGTTTCTCTCCACTTTTGGCCTGATACTGGGCCAATGTTCTGAACACAACCAGGAACTTCTAGGCACTGGATCTCTCCTCTTGAATCTTCAAAAGGGCCTGCGGAAGCTGTGGAAGAAAAACTAGGTCTTTGCAGTTGAGAACCAGATGAAAACATACTTTCTCTTGAACTGGAAAGGGACATTTGCCCTTGTATAAGGGAATCACTTGGAGGCAAGGCATTGAAATGGAACTTCGACAACTGAACTGCAGGATTCCCATCAAAGGGTTCAGAATGAAAAGAAGCCAAGCTTGCAGAAGATTGATCAACAAAACCACCACCATTCAGAGCTTGCGGCGAACTCCCTTGTAACCTCATAGTATTATTTGAGGCACCAGATAAAGGGTTATTTGAGTTAATTGCTAATGCCCTAGTATCGGCAAATGCTGTAGCAGCACCAAGTAATTTTGAATCATCTAAAGAAGTGATGTCCCCAACACGACTAATGCTTTTATTATGTTGCAACTGATCAAGCTCCATTGATGTAGGAATTCCTTGAAACACAGTTGAATTTTGACTTGATGGGGAGACCGCTTGATGCAATTTGCCAATAGTACCACTGGGATTGCTTAAATTTTGACTTGGCTGAACTACTGTGGATGAAGCTAGGTTACGTAAGTTGATGCTCCCAGGGCTGTTAAGTCTACCGAGCATCCCACCTTGTGTGTGCGGTGAAAAAGTAGTACTAGCCAACCTGCCTGATCCAGTCAGTGCACGAAAATCTCCCAGCCCATCCAGCGTACTCATTCTCATATAAGCAGTTTCCCTTCCTCCCAGTGCAGCAACCATGTTGGCTTGCTGCGTTGCAACTGTACTTATCCTTTTCAGGTAAAGCCTGTACTTCTGCATAGAATGCAAGACAGAGCAGCATTACTTGGATATTAAAAAGGAAAAATGTAGACATGGTATGTCAACTTTGAGATTTAAATACCGGGATGGATGTGTTCACATAAAGAAAACAGCTGGATGAACCAGGGGATGAGATTATTTTGGCTTAAAAAGTTTCAGTTCATAAATACTTGGTTACTTAGGTTTGTTCAGAGAGTGCATGAAGGGTCCCTTTGAAACAATGCCCAAATCACATGAATATAATTAGTAACACCTTGCCGAATCTCCTAGGACTCTAACATGGTTATGCATGTTTATGCAGAGATTTGCTAAACTAATCACAAAGTGACCCCTCCGGAGCCAAGAAGATACAAACCTGGAGATGGCTTGCCACATTTTCCCTGGTAAGGCCTTCAACATTCATCAAGTCAAGAATTCTTTTGGGAACCGCTTCTGCATAACAGAGATGAAGGATAAGAAACATGAGAACATCCTACTAAAGTACAAACATGGCAATTACATCGACCCTAGAGTACTCACTTTCTATGCCCAACTGATGAACTGCGGCAACAAATTTCCTGTGAAGCTCTATGGACCAAACAACCCTAGGCTTCTTCTGTGTTGTTGGATCGTCATTTTCGTTACCATTCTCTTCACCCTCATCTTCTTCATTCTGCCTCTTCTTGTTAAGTTTCCCACTCTGATCTCCAGAACCAGTCTGCAAAGGGCCCCCACAGACTTCACCATTTCCTTGATGAGCCTTGTCTTCAAAACTAGACTTGCTTTTCTTCGGATCAAGCTTCTTTCTCCGGATAACATGCTGCCAAATATTTCTCAGCTCCTCAATGCGAACGGGTTTCACCAGATAATCACATGCCCCATGATGAACGCCCTTCAGAACAAGCTTGGGATCGCTATTTGCAGACAACACTGATGCAGCACATTTAAAGACATTTCAAATGAGCTAGAGTAAGGCATTCTGTAACACTAAAAAGCAACACCATCTCACATCCTATTGTGAACAATAGACTTTCTAATCTATATTGAAAACTGTTTTTAAACAAAAAAAACAGCACTGAAAATGTGGCACTGAAAATTCATACGTTCCATAACATTGTAGGAAGACAAATGCAAAATAAGTATGCAAAGAGAGTAAAGCAAGTCATGCTTACTGATGACAGGAAGGTCCATTTCCAGTCCAACAAGCTCTAACAGTTTAAACCCATCCATGTCTGGCATATGGACATCGCTAATGATCAGGTCAAATCTATCTCTATTTTCCCTCAGCATCTCCAAGGCCACCCTAGCTTGATTAGTAGTTGTAACTGCCAAAGTATAATCAGAAGAATGTTAAATGAGTTACAAAATGAAAGATCACAAGATAAATTCCTTAACGTGCAACCAAAAACACTGCATATCCAAAAGAACCAAAATAATTTTCAAAACATAAAAGATTTTTTTTAAAAAAAATCATAGAATGGAAGATTAACCAACATGAAGGATTTTTCCGGGTAAAGAAAGGTAGGGGGGGTAAAGAAAACACAGAGAAAGGGAGATTTCAAAATTACAACCTTGAAAATGTTGCAAGAATTGTAAAATGGAAACTTAAATTACTGTATAAAATAAATTGATGAACAATTGATATAATACTACACCTGAAACAAAAAAGTAAACAGTATACAGCACAACTTCCTCAATAATTATACTCAACACTGCCACAGTACACAATCTAATTATGTCCTCCAGTAAAGAACATTAGAGATGGTACTTAAACACTGAAAGCGAAAGATAAAAATAGAACAAGATTCCAGATTTCACCGAAGATATTCTAATTACTGTGTGAAATCCAGGTAAATTTAGAAGCAAATAGGAAAAAATAGAAAGAGAATTTACAGATCAGGAGCCGGAGAATCAATAACAAATACCCCATACAACCAAAAATCTGAGAAATGAGTATCAATTAATGAAGAGAGAAAGGGAAAACACACCATGATATTGGCATTTCCGGAGAAGGCCTTCCAACAACTTCAAGCAAATTGGGTCATCATCAACTGCAAGAACTCTCATGCCCACCGGAAAATTGTCATAATTCATATCTCCAGTATCGGAATTCCGTCTTCCGTCAACAGTCATCGGTAAACTCACAACTCTAACCATTCTAGGTCGGAACAAAACAAACAAAACAAGAAATTCAGAACAAAAAAAGGATCACAAAAGTTGCAGCAAATTTGAATCCTTATCAACCCAAAAAGTCCCTTTTTTTGACAACTTCTCAAGAACCCACAAAGCAAAACACCAAAAAAAAAAAAAAAAAACTCTTGAACAAAATTTGAAAGACAACTCCAAAAGGGTATTAAAACAAAAAAAGTGCAGAGAGATAGAGAGAGAGGGATACCACAACACAGTGTTATCTGTCTTTGTGTGTGAGTGTGTGTGTGTGTGTGTTTTTGTATCTATGATTTCGAGACAAAGATGGACACTTTGAGTTGAAATTTTTACTTAAAAAGGAGTAATAAAGCTGTACTAAAGACAATGATGGAGTAAGGCCAGAAGAGACTGAATGGCTTTCAACCCAACAATACAACAAATCATATGAGTTTTTTTTAATAAAACTCCCTCTCTCCTCTGTGTCTGTCTTTTTTTTGCTTTTTCTTCCTCTCTGATGAGAGTGTGATGACTCACTTTTCAATAAAATAGTGGATTATATAGCAATAATAACTGTGAAAATATTATGAACATATCATTTTTTTTTTGTACAGTTTTACTCTGAAATTATTAGTTATTAAAGCTTTTTTTTTTAAGACTGCTCTTTTTTACAGGAAAGCCAGAAGCATGCAAATTTGGGAAGTGGGGGAAGGGGAAGAAGGGACCTTTTGATTTGCTATCCTGTAACTCAGGTCCACCGTAACGTCTCATGCACCCTTCAAGAGTGTCAGTTATAGGAAATCACTTCTGATGAAATCTGGTCCGTTTATTCACAGGAAGGAAACTGTACTATGAAGAAGAAGTATAGTGGGACCCACTTGATTTTGATTCCTCTTTGGTTCTTTCTTCACTCTGAACAAAAGATGGTGATTCATTGTACAATAATCAACGGCTGGGATTCAGTGGAGGGTGATGTGTAGTGTAGTTGACCTTTTCGCTAAACTAGGATTGGTGGTGGCCCACTCAATTGTTGTTCATTTTCACAATCAATTATGTGTCTTATTTTTGGATAAATTGGTCGAGAGATTAGTACATTGTCCGTATTTCACCAAATCAAATCGTCGTAGTATTTTTGTCATTTTTGTGTTTATTATCATGGAAAACCAAAATATGTAACAATTACTTAATAATTACTCCCTCTGTCCTAAAATTATTGTTCAGTTTAATATTTTACTTTTAGTACAATTTCAACTAAAAATAAAAACTCAAACTGGACAATAATTATAAGATGAATGGAGTATTTTCCAAAGCGAAGAAGAATTCTTGCAATTGTTTACATTTTAGACAAGCATATGAATCGTAACGAAAGAGTTTTTTCTTCTTCTTATTTCTATAAACAGTCAAATTCAGTTGTTTCAAGAGGTCAAATGTTAACATTTCAAGTTAAGAACCCTTCTATGCGTTATATATTTTCTGAAAAGAATGGTCAAAGACGATTTTAGTAAATATATATTCACACTTCTTTATAAATGACAACATTTGTTTCCCATCACTTTGATATAGAATGTAGAATATAGAATAATTATTGTAATTCTTATCCAGAACAATTCCAATTAGTAGAATCAATTCCATTGATACGAGTTTTATATCAAAATTTTCTAACCCGTTTTAACAGTTTGGTTTACAGTTTAAACTAAAAATCGGACCACCCGCATCGTACACTACCCCTAGGTCAAGTAATCATTGTCATAAATAAAATGATATCGTTCCACACTCTAACGGAGTCTAAACAAAGAAACATTGTCAAATGTTCACACTATCCGTCGGGTAATTTTAATGTAATTTTTGTAAGAGAAAAACCGTCAAAGATGGAATTTAGTCCATGAACAAATTCACACCATTATAATTAAAGGGCTACAATCTTTACCATAATTAGAAAAAGCATCTCAATCGTGGCTATTAATTTGTAATCAATTCGAATCAGAATCTTGGAATCTTAATTAATAACGCAATCCTAGTTTACCATTATCTTAGTCACATGATTAATTTACATTCAATTTTCTTTTCTGTTTCAAGTGAATTGGTCTAAATGGAATTAACAATGATGGATAGATTTAATTTAACCAGATGGAAAGTGCTGAAAAGGCGTCATTCTTTTATCGGGTGAGTTAATATATTGACAGCTAATAAAATTCGCGATTGACATTTTCAATAAATAAATTTGTATGAAAATTTATGCTGATACATACAACTGAGAGAGATGATAGTTTTTTTTTAATATATATTACGCATCCGGTGTCTGAAGTCATTACTCTGACTAATCCGGATTTGAGCCGTGTAGATCCCTTCGGGAGGCAAAGCTCTACCAACAAGTATTTTAATTATTACTGCATGTCTTTGCCTAAGTTCGAACCCGGATCATATATAATTAAATTAGACCAATACCTTTACCACTTAGACCAAGTGTTTATCGGTACATGATAGCATTTTTAATACACTCGTAAATTCTTTAATCACCCATCCACCTTTAACTAGATTTTAAAATAAAAGATCAATTCAAACTTTTTACCAAATAAGAATAACATTTCTCGTTTTCTTTTTTTTCATTTTATAACCTTCGTATATATTCAACTAGTACAGTAAAATGATGGTGAGAAATATGGTAGAACGAGAACTTTTGGTACAAACGTATGTCATTTGAAAAAAAGTTCTATAATTCCATAGGATATTGTGGAGAAAAGGAAAAAAAAAAAAAAAAAGCAACGAAGGCAGAACGTCCAGAAGAAAGTGACGTCCAATTAAGCAACAATGAGAGAAAGAAACAAATAGAAGTGTCCCCCCACATTTTGCAATTCTGCCTTACATCACTACATCTTTCTCCTTTCCACTCGCAAATGGCAGGGTACGGTTTTGCCAAAGTAAAAAGATATGTGTTTTTTTGGTTTCTGTGTTTTTTTTTTTTGTCCTTTGAGTAAAAGTTAATATTGAGAGAAAATTTGTGTATTTAAAGAATTTTTTTTTTTGAATCAAAAAAAAAAAAGAATTTTTGTTTAATTTTAGTGTGTCCTATAAGCTAATGTATTTGCCATAATCATGAACCAATTTGATAGCTTTAATCTTGTATACGCACTTGATAAATATAGGTTGGTTGGTTGTGTGGTTTTTTCCTTTTTCTTTTTGTTTAGTGATTAGAGAACCCCTTTTATAGGTTTAATCGCCCCATAAAAGTTATTCCCTCCGTCCCATAATTATTCTCAGTTTTACTAATAAATGAAAGATTTTATTTTTTGTCAAATTTAACTATATTTTACCTTAAACAACCGGATATACCCCTACATAAGTAATTGTTTAACCACTAAGATTTTATGGATAATGTTTTTTACTAAGGACAAATGTGTAACTTGTTCCATAAAAAGTCAAATTGGACAATAATTTTGGGACAAAATTTTTTGGGCAAAGTGGACAATAATTATGGGATGGAGGGAGTACAAGTTACAGGAGAGATATCGAATTTGTTCCATTACTAGAGCGGAATTGTGAGATTATGCGAAACACCGATTCTTGTTTGGGATAGATGATCAGAGTGTATTATTTGGGACTGTAAAGAGTAATGAAATAATATTTGAGATTAATATAAGTCTTGTTGGGGATTTAACTACTTTTGGAGCATGATTATTTAGAATTTTTAGTTGCTCAAAGTTTCAATAAGAAAGTATAACAGTTTGAAACTCTTTTGTCGGAAGTTAAACCATGACTTTAACATGATAAAATAGGGATTTCATATCTTTGTATTGTGATGTGATGATCTAATTGTAAGGTGTGGATGTTTCTTAATTATAAAAAATTTAAATAAAAAATAATGATGATTTGTGCAGAAAAATTTTTAAGTAAACTTTTACAGGGAATTAATTATAACTATTTATTTTAAAAATTTTCATCTGGAATTTTCGCATTTAAAGCTATAGCATAATTTTGATAATTAACATATCATTTAATTATAAGTTTTCTTTGTAAATTTTCGCTGCATGTATCACTGCTCATACAAAATTATCAAGAATGCTGCACACATAATAGTCACTCGAGGAAGATCTCACGCTGAAGCAATCTTTTGATGGAGTTAGCTAAAAGCCAAAAGGATAGCGATTGAAGACGTGAGAGGTGATTGCCTTCTCTATTACGAATTTCGGCTCTTTTTTTATGTAAGTGTTGTTGTAGAATTTATTACAACTTAAGTTCAATTCTAAACACTTTTAAAATCTCAACATATCTATAGTACTTAATTAAAGTAACAAATAAAAAGGACACGTATTAGTACCGTAATGAAAATTTTCCCGTCAAAAGTCATTTTCAGTACAAAATTATTTTTGACACGTGGCACTTTAACTAATCAGAAAAAAAAAGATAGAATATATAAATACATAAATCCCTTAATTATAGCTACATAAAAATATCTTAATTATAGCAATCCCTTAAAACAACAATATTAAGTTGATAAAATCAAATGTAAGAAAATCCCCTTAAATCAAGTGAAACACCAGTAATGTCTTCCCAATCCTCAATTTCAAAGAATCTCTTCCATTCTGCTCATCTCTCACACCCAGGCCTTTAAATCAATTACGTAAAATCTGACATCAATTATCAATCCATCTCTTTCTACAACAGAGAAAAAATAAGCTGTCATGAAAGAAATTTGATTTTTTTAGGATGATTTTTTTTTATTCTTCTATTGTAGATATTGGTTTATGATTTATGTAAAACCGGGCATAAGTTAACTGTTATAAATTAAATATTGTAAATCTGGCCATACATTTATGTGTAATAACTCACTTTCTGTCTTTTCAATCGATTTTTTATTATTTTAATTTTTTTTATTCTTTTAAGAATGATTCGTATTTTTTATTTAATCAATTTAAAAATACAAGCGACACCCGGGCATTCACCTGAGACAAGTATCTAGTAAACGATTAATGTTAAAACCTTAAAACGTTAAAAATTTTTGTAAACATCCTTCAAATCTATTATAAATTGAGTGCACACCCAAAATAAATTCAACTTTTCCTCTTCTTTTTTTTTTTAATGTGTCTCATTATACCGTTTCACCAACTTAAAGACGTATTCTTTTTCCACAATTTCAGTTTATGTTTGTTTCATTGTTTTTGAAAGGTTATTTACTTTTGGGAGAGAAATAAAAGACCGAAGAGAACCTTTTAGTGAAGAACACTTTATGTACAGAAAATATCATATATGTTCAAAAATAGTGTTTTTTTTTAATATAATGTGAAGGGATTTTCCAATTGTTTGGAATAAATCATTGGCTATAATTAAAAATGACAGAGTTACCCTGACAATATCGTTTGCCAACCATGATCTAAGTTTTGGAGGTGGAAAATCCTATCTAATAGATTATCTGGATTCTTTGCCACAGATTGAGTTAAATAATTAGTTGCAAAATTAACTTCTCTGTATAAATGTACAGAATAATCTTGGTGGAACATCAATCATCTAAAACTAGGCAGATACCATCCTTTGTTGCCTACACAAATTTTCTAAATGATCTTAAAGCACATTTCATGAATTCAAACACCCAAAAACATGACCATAATAGAAATCGGCGTCCAAGGATGTGAATTAGTACCATTTGTAGAAAAGTTTTTTTTCACCCCATATTATAATTGGTTTTATATTAC